GACAACATGTTTAATGATTTATGGATATTTTTATATAATTTTATTAATATTTATGTGAATTAAATAATATTTTATTATAATATTTATTAGTGTCCAGTAAATATAAGGTTTGTAGAACTGGACTGTCATCGAAACAATCAAACTATTTTATTAAATCATTTGTGGTTTGTTCATATTTTAATTTATAAATATTTTAATCTATATATATATATAGTACTTTTTGTAATAAATTTAAATAAAATGTGTTACTTAGATATCTAAACGATTTATAAATTCAAATGTTTAAACTAATTGATAAATAATTTATAAATATCTATTTTATTTAAATATGGAATTTTATATAAAATAAATTTAAATACAACAAAATTTATTTAGAAAATTGTATCGATCCTACCAGTCCAACCGACTGGTGTTGACGGATTCGAGAGCAAATATTTTATATAAGCGAACTAGACTGATTATAAATCGGTTCTCGGTTCATCCGGTCAGACTATGTCCAACCCAGTTTAATTTAAAAACAATGAATAAATAATAATTAATGTTATTTATATATTTAATTTATAATACAATCGTAATATTGATTTCCCGTGCATCTCACGGGCCACGCACTAGTATATAATAATAAGAATTACTATTTACCCAAAATAGTAATCCAAAAATTTAGGAAAGCATTTATTGCATACTATTTCTTGAATTTTTTTTTCTTTTTTTTTAGTGTAAATGAAACAACCGAATCATCTCTGCCGCCTATATATTAGGAATGTAATTAAAATATAAATTGAAATCACCTAAAGAAAAGGAATTAGTTGATTCCTCCATAACACGTCTTATCCCATATCAAAATACGATTATTTTCGAATTTTATTTATTTATTTTTTTTACATAAAATCGAATCAGCCTAATAAAAATGTTAAAAAATTATAACAGATCTATCGACTTTTGAAATGAATCTTCGAAAATCAATAAAAGTTCACAACATTATATCACAAAAAAATACTTGCAGTATGAAAAAATAAAAAAAAAATAAAAAAAAACTCATGTATTTTGATAGAAAAATAAAGATCTATAACTAGATTTGAGGTGTTTTGTGTTTAAAATTTTGAAAACTTAATAAAAATTTCGAAAACTTAATAAAACGCAAATTTTAAATAAAAAACACAAAAACAAATTAAAATTGACCCAAAATTCATAATGCATACTTTTTGAAACCGTGAGGGGTATGGAGATAAGTGAGAAGAGATAAGATAAATGCAAGGATGCGGAGAAAAAAAATAAAAGCCCTAAAAAATCGGACTTGGAATGCCTTTTATATTTGATAGACTTTTTCCGGTGCATTGGATTTATGTTGACAAATTTAAGTCGTTGGATCAATGATATAAATGAATTCGGATAGATTTAATTTCATCTGAACTGGGCCGGATGTTTGGGCTCTATGTCTTACTTATAATATTCTTATTCTTACATTGGGCTATTTATTGGATCCAACAGTTATAATAAAATGGCCAACTAAAATTATTTTATACTGTTATTTTCGTCCAAATATATTGTCCCAGTTTTTTATTTTATGTTTTATGAGTTTTAAAATTGGTATGGGTTTTATAATGAAATAAAAAAAAATCAATTTCACAAGATTATATTTTGGTCAGATTTTATGCACAAATAGTTACAAGCAATCTATATCTATATCTATATCTATATCTATATCTATATATACCTATATATAAAGAGAGAACCTATTTACCAAAAATATTAACAACAAAAGTCAACCAAGATTTATTGCATTCTATTTTGCAGTTTTTGAATTTTCTTTTTAAATTATTCCCAAAAAATCGATCAGCTATATAGCAACCTAAATTCATGGGTTTTGTGGATTTAATTTAGTTAAATTTCGAAAAAAAAAAAAAAAAAACTGATTACCATAAGATCGAGAATTTCGAATTAGGCAAAATACTATCACATATATCTTTTCCTAATTGCAACAGATAAATTGTTTAATAAAAAAATCGGATTGCATAGAAATCGGATTAATTTAAGTAAAATTCGGCATGATAATTTTGTAAAAGTCAAAATTCTCTCATTTTATATTAAAAAAATTTATTTACATAAAATCGAGAATTTCAAATTAGGCAAAATACTATAACATGTATCTTTACCTAACTGCAACATATCATATTTATTAAAAAATCGGATTGCATAGAAATCAGACACAATTCAAATTGAAAATTAAAATTCAAAAATCTCTTATCATTTGACTACTACTTTCTTTAATTCTGATTTTTTTTTTAAAAAAATATAAAACAGAGTCAGATAATATTAATTTGAAATTCAAAATGAAATCGGATTGAAACATCCTAAAAGTTTTGGTTTTGTTTAATCCTCTAGAATACAAATTTGCAATTGATTCATATACTTACACAGTTTTTCCCTTCCTTAAATTAAGTAATTCATAATTTAAAAATAATAAGGCTATAGATTATCATGAAAAACGTTCTACAATGTCTGTTATATTTGGCTATGCAATCTTTATAAAACAACTATAAATCATATCATATATATCCTACTAAATAATTTAATTGATTTAATTAAGCCTATCTAGAATCCTAATATAATTTGTGATGATAGACGATGTACCAAAAGACCAAACAAATAATTTTGTGTACAAGTATGTGTTTAATAATATATAAGTTTCATTTTGTTTTATTCCAATACATGCGTCTTACCGTTCTTCCAATCATCCAATTCTAAATGCTTACCTTAATAAATCTAGCCCGTGCATCGCACGGGTACCGCACTAGTTTATACTTATTCCCTAAAAAACTCATAACACATCTACCACCATATATATTAAACTGAAATAAAATTGCTTGATTAATCATTTATAATTAATTTAAAAATTATTAAAAAATCGAGATAAAAGCTGGAACTAATTCCAATTTTACACAACCAAGATATAATCAGTCAAAACGTAAATGATATAGGAAATATTGATGCGCATTAAACTATCTCACATTTTTTTCTAAAGGATATAATGAGATACTAGTACGACACCCGTGTACTACACGGGTTGTTTGAAAAAAAAAATATATAAAACATAAAATAATAGAAAAAACACATGTTGTCATATAAAAGTGCAAAAATAGAAAATATCAAAATATTATTTCAAATTTTGAAAAATTTCTTTGTACACAACATTAATAATTATTTATAGTTTTTCCATCCTTATCGCAACACAAAATTTTCAAGCCTATAGTATTAATTTTTATCCGAACCAAAAGCCGAGAAATATAATTGTATTAACTATTAATATATAATTTTAGAGGAGCCCTGGTGGGTTATAATTCAAAATATAACCCAAAATAATTTAAGAATGTAATTAACTATTAATTTTCAAGCACAATATTATTATAATATTGTTATTTTTCCTCAATATATTTCAGCCATGCTTTTAGTTTGAATCTTATAATTAACGATTATTTTTTATAACTATTATTTTTTATAACTATTATTTGTTAATCACCTGTATAGCAGCTCACCTGTATAACAAATAATTCAATTTGCCAACAGATCGTTGATTCTAATAAATTATGTTGGTTTAGAAATAAAATATATTATTTCTACAATTTCCTCAATATATTTATAATTATTATTTTTTTCCTCCAATTCAACCATAATTTTTTATAAGATTCTCTGATAGTGTATTATTTATTTTAAGTATTAATAAACAATTTTTTTCTAAAATATTTGAATTATCACATTTGTTGGGTTAACCTCTCGATCATCCTTTCATTCATCTTGTAGCCCAAAAACTTGTCAGACCAATTGGACAGGATGAGAGAAAACAAGTGCACACATGTGCACATAGTTTGAATTGTCCAAGTGATAGATCGAAGATATGTGCTAATTTTGTGATGTAATTTCGTCTATGTGTTGGACATTTGTGCTTAATTGATATATTTTCGACCTTATCTTATAATTTTGAGTGGAAACTACAATTGTTGAGATTTTGGTGCAGTTTGATCAGTTATTAAGCTGGGAACTCGACATGGCGTACGTATAACCAACATGACAGTGTTGTAATTTTGTGTAACATGACAATGTTGGACTTCTGTATAGACGGACAAACTACTGCTGCTTATTATTTTGTACATGGGCTAATTGATACAAAAATATCATGTCCGGTTCCTTGGGGGGATGGATCCATTAGAATTCACTTATCCCAATAACAAAAAGACCTGATTTGAATTATCCTGTATTAAGAGCTAAATTGGCTAAAGAGGCAATGAGCAGTACTAAAAGACCGAGAACTAGGAGAAAAATCTAACTTTCAAACCATACAGCAGCAGCCACAAGGAGCAGGTAGAAGAAGATTTGTTTGTTTCACTAGAACTTTTTTTTTTTTTTTCCTCTCAAGATTTCTCCTTACTTTTGTTATATATTATGGAAACCCTGTTGTTAAGTTGGTTTTAGCTGAGTACAGAATAAATCTCGACTTCGGGTCGTGTCTCCCGAGAAAAGTTGTTCGGACACGAATTCAGACAACGATTGATTCACACAAGAAAGGAAAAGAAATATCCTTACCCTTCTACTCGCAATTTGGGGTTCGAAATAAGTTAAATGTCACAACTTTAAACTAAAATCAAAGCAACCAAACTTTAACAAGCAAGACTCGAACTTTGATGCAAGCAAGGCCTAAAATTGCAATAAAAAGAGAAAAAGAGAAAAAAAGAACTAAGCACCTTAAGACTCAAGATGAAAAGAAGATACGTAGGTTCGGAAACATGTAATTAAAAAATTGTTACTCGCGAATCAACTAATCGAGATCTAAATCAATTCTCGCTTGCGCAATCAACACTTGATTTGTAGTTATCAGTCTTGAAAATACACGTCAATCTCTGGAGACATTAAATACATGCATAATAACATGTGTCTCCTAGTCTTTTTTTTTTTTTTTTTTTTTTTTTTTTTACTTCTNTTGTATTAACTGCAAATCAAAGTACACATTATACACCTTCCTTGGACTTACTACCAGAGCTAAGGAAATGGACAGCAAAATGACCTATACAAGAGCAAAGTCCAAACTAAATAAAAACCAAAAGATACAACATGTACAGAAGCAAAAGCCAAAACTAAACAAAGACCATAATTACAATCAGGACAGCAGGAGAAGAACAAAACATCAAAGTACATCCAGAAGCAAGAAACATCCACTGTCACGGCAGCCCCATCTGAGCAGCACAACTTTGACTTGGAAGTCTTGGGGAACTACATGCAACAGTACTTCTATATGGCCTATGATCTCAAGGGAAATCAGCTCTCATTCCAGAGGATGGAATGTGATGTTTTACGTCATGATTGATTAACAAACAATGTTTCTCCCTTACCTCTCTATTAATGGATCAAATCCTTGGACAAATCTTGATTCTTGATCATAAGCAACTAATACTAAATTTGAGCTCTATACATAATAATTAATATACTTATGTATTGCAAGTTAAGGTCCGTCTAAATAAAATATCCAAGTGGACTCTAATCATGTGAAAGTTGATATGCCTCGGTTCATTTCAACCTATAGGTGACTACAAGACAAACCCCGTGTCAGCTCGTGGACAGCCCTCAATGTCTTCATAAAACTAGCTCGTCGCACAGGTTTTCATAAAATATTAATATTTGGTCTACACGGGTTGTTTGAAAAAAAATATAAAACATAAAATAATAGAAAAAACACATGTTGTCATATAAAAGTGCAAAAATAGAAAATACAAAGTCGAAATACCAAAGTTGATATTATTTCAAATTTTGAAAAATTTCCTTGTACACAACATTAATAGTTTTATTTACAATTTTTCCATCCTTATCACAACACAGAATTTTCAAGTCTCTCCTACTTTTAACTCTAGATAATGCAACATATAGTTGACCATGACTGAATACAGGATTAGGCAAGTACAATCCGACGTAATGTTTGTCCTTGACTCTTATTAATAGTCATTGCAAAACAAACCATAAGTGGGAATTGTCTTCGTTGAAACTTGAAAGGCAATCTCACATCAGAGGGAGTCAATAACATCCGCGGAATAATTACTTTGCTCCCAATATTCCTTCCCGATAGAACCTTAGCCTCAACAATGCGATCTCCAAGTCGAGTGATGACTAACCTGGTGTCATTACACAACCCATAAAATAAATAATGATTATTTATTAAATGTATCAGTTCTTCTTTCTAATTGAAAAGTAAAAACATTACAATAATGATATATAATAAATTAGTTAAGATTTAGGAACGTATAAATGCTAAAAAAATAAAAGAATGATCGAGTGATCACTCACCTGGTGCCGTTACACAACCCAGAAGATTGATCCATGTTTCGAAGCAGCATTACAGGAATACCAACTTTCAATTTTAAGATGTGATTAGGAACTCCAGAGCATTTTATTGCATTTAAAAAATCAGTTGTGTACACTGAATGCTGATTTTCTGAATCGACAAACGTCTTGCAAATACTGTCGGAGCTCAAATAAACACGTTCTTCACCAGGTATCATTGACATTATGTAATCATTAACTGCTTCAACAATTTTATTCGTAGGTGCAAGTATGGCTCTCCCTTCAAAAAATGATAAATCATAAAAGTTTCTCAGTAGTGAAGGATAAGTACTTTCAACAATAGCAGCTAAATGATCCTCTTCATCTCTAATCAGTAGGTCTTCAGGAATATCGACAAATGTTTCTCCATCAACTTCAACACCAGTTAGATCATCACCAATTTTTATGATCCAGTTAGAAAAATCTTCAATTTCTCTAGCAGTTACATGTGAGTGTGACTGCCCAACAGTTAATCTCATGTTTTTAGTGAGCCGGAGAACTTTGCAATGATTCCATAATGCAGATGAATTTATGGAGGCATACACAATATCTTCTCTACTACCTTGCGGTACAACAGGTAGTATTTGCCGAAAATCTCCACAAAAAACAACTACTTTTCCACCAAAAGGTATACATTTCTTGGAAGGATCGGTACATGAATCCCTTAAGCTTCGATCTAATGCTTCAAAACAATATCTGTTCATCATTGGAGCTTCATCCCATATGATCAGTTTTGTCTTCTCCAAAAGAGCAGCTAAATCGGAATCAGGAGTAAATGGACACATAGATTTCTCTCTAATGTTGAGCGGGATTCCAAAACGTGAATGAGCAGTTCGACCGCCAGGAAGTAATAGTGCAGCAACTCCACTTGAAGCAACATTAACAACAATTTCACCCTTGCTTCTAAGAGCAGCGGATAACGTTCTCCAAATGAAAGTCTTTCCTGTTCCACCATATCCATAGACGAAGAAAACACCATCAACATTATTTGCAGTAGCATTTAAGATTTCAGTATATACCCCTCTTTGTTCAACAGTCAAAGAAGAAAACAATTGCATATGCTCTGCCTCTAATTGTGTACGGTCATACAACAATTCTTGTTGAATAAGCTTATTATTTCCTTCAGTCACCATTGAATCATCAGGAAAAGGCATACCGTTATAGTTTTTGAGAGACTTTCCGTTGGCCTGCAATAACTTCTCTATTTCAACTAATGCGAAACATTGTAACTGATCATCACTAAGTCGCAAGTCTGTTTCAAAGGAAAAAAAAAATCATTTAATAAATATGAATGAGAAACATATAATATTAATTAGTTAGTGCTACTATATGATAAAAATAATTCTCTCCTTTATAATATTTGAAGTGATAGAAGATTTTATACTACATATAGAGTATTTTAAGAAATATATTAAATGTACTAATAAGCCATCACACTTGTTATTTTGTATTATATTTTGTGTTTTTTGTGTTGAACTTTCACATGTATAACTTTTTCACGTGTATGCTGAAGAGATATTTTGATTCTCTGTATTCTCTAACTTGGTTTATTTATAACATAAATGTGAACTAACTGATGATGTTAGGCTGAGCTGCAAGAGTCGGGAGAAAAAGGAGGCACGGAATTTGATGATGCTCGGAGCATAGTTTCAGATTGAATTTAAAATTATATAGGCCAACCATCATACATATTTTTTTGTATGCAGGACTGTTCATGAAATTCATGATATTTAATGAATAGTAATTCTGAGTTTTGAAGAACAGAAACAAATGAACAGATGGCTAAACAACAACTTTCACGTATGCATTTATACATTAAATATAATGAATAGTAATTCTAAGTTTTCAAGAACAGAAACAAATGAACAGATGGTCAAACAACAACTTTCAGGTATGCATTTATACGTTATACAACAACAAAAATTAGGAAATAAAATTATTAGCTACCTTATATTTTCACTTCAACAATGTTTTTGACATATATTCTTTAAATGTTCAGTAGCCAACGGATAATATCCCGTATGAAGGAATCTATGAGAAAAGTTATTAGACACAATTAAAAAAAAAAAAAATAGCTAAATAAAAAAAATATCTCAACTATATTACCTTGAATTCCAAGAAGTCTACGTTGTCTGTAAAGGATATCGTCGGCCAAAACTCTCCATGTACTTTTACACACATATTCTGGTCTGGAGACACTGTCCGAAAATAATAGAGATGCAAAGAGTTTTCTTAGAAATTGTGGAGAAGCCCAAAAGCTCGCCTCTATAATGCCATCAATGTATTCTTTATCATCATCCAAGAGGCCCAACGAATAACATGCATCCTTAAAAGTTGGATAAGTGACGTTGCCAATGGTTCTTATATCTTCATAGCATAATGGTCCCCGACTATGATGAAGCATGATAGATAAATAGTGCAATTCTCCAGCACCAGGTGGCACATAATCTAACCTTCCAACCGGTAACTTTTTTATCCGCAGAGACCAGTAATTTTTCTCTCCCTTCCACACAAACTTCGTAGGCAACTCAGCATAAGTCAATGTTCTAGCCCGTGGGTACTTTTTATTGCATTCAAACCAAGCTAAAAACATAGACTATTGACTCTTTTTTTTTTCACCACCTCATCAATAGGAACAGAATCGTCAAAGGGGACATTTTGTTCACCAGGTAGATGAAAGCTCAATCTTTGAACGGACGGGGTCTTATAGTGAATGTCAAATGCAAAGATTCGCCAAACAGCCTCACATGGAGATATGTAACGACAATTGTAGAAATTCTTTATTTCATCAATCTGTGTCGTACCACCAGCAGAATTGCTTGATTGATCGATAGATGCAGTTACACGATCATTCCCTTTATTTATGTACTTGAAGAGATACTTTATCGATCTGAATTGGTTACACCATTCAACATTAATGTGAGCCTCATATCTCGCAAGCAAAATTGGACTGTGCGGAACGACATATCTGTTATCTAGCTCAATTCCATTTTTGTTAACTAAGATACCACTGTCTCTTCTCTTATATAAAGGGAACCCATCATCATCCACAGTGGTTCTGATGTTATACTTCTTAGGGAAACGCTTTGAACATGTTCCATTCTTTATGCAAACTTTGTCGATTCCACCAGAAGCACAAGGTCCATGAATCATGTGATTAGATACCAATTCATACAACTTCGGCTGCAATTGTTTATCAGGTATCTCAGCAGAAATTATATGATCAACATCATTTGGAGTAGGTATCTTACTTTCACGTTGAAGAAATACAAGAATATGTCCGTGTGGCAAGCCACGTTTTTGAAACTCCACGGTATATACAACTGCATTGCACACATATTTTTGTTAAGTCATTTGAATAATATGAATACATATAAAAGGTGAATGTAGTTAAATAATAATAATTTTAATATAATTGAAAAGAACGAATAAAAAAGGATAAAAATAACATTAAAGTTACCTGCACGAGTTTTTCCAAATATTTCATCATCTTTGATGTCGTGAATTAATTGATCAAGCTTAATTTTGAAAACTCGACAAACAATATCAGGTCTATCTTCAGGCCTCAAACCTCTTAAATTTAGGAATCGTGTGATTTCAGGCCACTTGGGGTTGCAAGTCATTGTGATGAATAAGTCAGGATAACCGAACCACTTACAAAGTGCCATAACATCTTGATAATTTTGACTCATATATCTGTCACCTCCCGTGAAAGATTTTGGCATAAAAATTCTTTGGCCTATTGAAGAGGGATCATTTTCACCTCTCGAAACAGCAGCTTGTAAGTTTTTAAACTTTTCTGATCTCAGAGTAGGTTGGTTCAGACGAATGTAATGAAGCCTTGCAGACTCAACCATTGTGTATCCATCCACCAAAAATTGTTGAAATAAACGCCGACCCAACAGAATAGTGTTACATTCACTCTCTCGTTCATGAATCCGAAATGCCAAAAACTCTCGCAAAGTTAATTTGTCTCTTTTTTTGGAAGTGGTCAAAGAAGCAACACTATGTTCAATTCCAACTCTGAAGCCATCTTCTCCATAAGGAAACAATAGAGGATATTGCAAAGGAAGATAGGACGGGTGTAGCTCGCTTATTCTTTTCAATTTTCTAGAACGTGTCTCTATGATGATATCTCTCTTATCAAATGAATCGTCAATATCACCAACAATGAGAGCTGCAACTTCATGAGCTGTAGGAAGGTTGTAAGTTCTGCCATCAGATTCTCTTCCTCCAATGAGCCTGAGTTTGAAATTGTCTGTAGAACCTGATTGAAAATGCTCCTTGACCATTCTAAATGACTTCACCAATGGGTTGTTTTCATCAAGCATCCTCATTATATCATGGATAACTCCAGCCTCTAAATTACTTTGGCTATTTCTTGACCGGGAGCTGAACAGAAAAACAACAATTTTTCAATCAGTTATGTGCATTTAGGTTTGAAATTTAAATGAAGTTAGGCTAGGAAAACAGAAGCAGTTTAGAATTATTCTAGAAGAATATAAAACTTAGAGAAGTTTTAAGGTGAAATAGTGAAATAGTTATGTACAGCAAGAAGTGAATCAATAAAGATACCACTAATTAAGCAATACAGATTCATAACGACAGTAGAAAGAAATAGCAGTTTCAGATTTTACACTTACAAGAGCCTGTAGTTAAATCATTTAAACCCTGATCTAGAGAAGAACACATACACACACACACACACATATATATATATATATATATATAGATATATATATATATATATATAAATCATTTAATCCAGCACCATCTCATTGTAATCCGTACACTAAATTACTTTGGCTATTTCTTGACCGGTAGCTGGAGACTGAATATTTTTCTATAAGTCATAATTATAGTAAGACTAATATTATGTATATTTAAGGGTACCAATAAATAACAAAATATATGTACCTCATTGCATTCATTCTGTTGTCTATTTCGTTTTCAGTGTCGTATATGTACACCTGAGAAAACTTAGGAGCACCACCGGTAACTGGTAGCAAACTTCCAATCTGATGGTAGTTGGCACCTTTTAATTTGAAGACATAAGGAGCATTGCCATTGTTGATAGATTTATCGACTTGTCCTCCAATGGATGTGAAACTGAAGATACTGTTGTATGCTCGAATATTATCAAGGAACTTGCGACTTCTTTGATCTCGACCCGAAAGCAGGTTAATAAGAGTTGTAGGGGCTTGTCGAAGCAAGGGTAGCTGAACCTTTCCCTTTTCACAACAAATAGAAAAGAACGGATTTTTCGATTTATCACTTTTAACTGCACGTTCTTCTTTCCACAAACTTGCACCACAAAATTCACATTTAAAGTTAGGGTCTCCACGGTCCATATATCCTAGCAAAAGATAAATATTAAAAATATTTATCAAAAATATTTTAGAAATTTTGTAACATAACTAATCATGAAAATCTATGAAACAGGGTTAAGGAATTATTTAGCCAACAGTTAAGGAATCATTACCAAGAGATAAAACATCAACAGGGTTAGGATTGTTATCTCGATGATCAACATGAAGCATTCGAGCAACTGAAGGCAAAACATTGATATTCTTTTTGACCCGCTTTGCTGATGTCTCTTCAGTTAAAGTGCTTTCATTACCTTTTAAAAAAATAAAAATAAAAGGTTATATCAATTCCCAAACATGATTAGATTGATGAGTAAATAATATGTTATATTTAAATAATGAATAAAATATACCGGACGTTCCAATGGTTTGAACTGGGCAGGTGTTTTGCTCCGTGTGTTTATCAGCTATGAATTCAAATATATACATATATCAATTTAAAAAAATAGTCTACTTAAGCAAAATGAATAAACAAAAGTATGATAACGTATATAATATTTTATCCTTTGAATTAACCAAATATAAAAAAATATAGAATTGGATAGACCTATTTTGTTTTGTCGCCTTGCATCTATAAAGGACTTTCTGAACTTTCTTGCTTGACTGGATGGAGTTTCTGAGATCGAATATATAAAAAAAATCAAAGAAATATATATTGTTTGCATTTTACATAAATAAAATATTATCCTTTAACCTATTAATTAATTTATAATAATGTAAGTTGTATATATTATATATAATACAAAATTTAAAAGTGAGTCCCATAAAATATACTCACCCGTAACAACAATTTCAATGCCTACAGGAGATAGTCCACGCTTTTCTTTCATTTTCGCCATTATAATGTGTCTACTAAGTAATGCATTTTCTTTATCCATTATTTGAACCACACACTGAAAATGAACAAATATATATAACCAAATTAATGAGTGATGCAGCACAATCTTCCAACATAAAAACGAATATTGCAAGAAATAAAACCAATTGAAGAAAAAAATACGGAATAGACATGGTGATTGCCATGGAGAGTGCGACTCTGTAGCAAGTCGGCGATGTTGCCGTCGTGAAAGCACATGGAATAATCCATAAGGAGAAGAACCAATAAGGCTTATTAATAATAAAAAAAAAAAGATGTTTCTAATGAATTACCTTTTGTATAGTGTCTTAGGGAGAAGGTCCAATCTTCTTATCACTTTTATTAAATGAGATAGTTAGTCCACTTCAGATTTCTTGAATGATGAATTAGTTCTTTCCCTCAAATTTGGTACATGAAACATTAAATTAGATAAAAACATAAATTTAAGATCAATTCAATCACAAAATTCGACAATAAATTTTTACGCAAAAATCAAAAAAGAGAAGTAAAACTAAGCTTGGAATAAACTAAGCTGAATACAATCGATTTGTAATAGAAGTTAAACAAATAAAAAATGTTCAATTCGAATACATACCCCAAGCCATTTTTTTTTTGTAAGAGAAGTTAAACAATACGATCGATACCTGGCATTGTTAACCTGAGAGGGAATACATATCCCAAGCCAGTCACAGATGCGGATCGAGATAGAGATGTCGCGTCTAGGGGGAAAGATCGATCGACGGAGGACGCGCGCGAGATGACGGGGATTCGAGGTATAAACACTTGGAATTGGCCGGAGTTCTTGAACGCGACTGTACGGGGATTTCGGCGGAAACGTAAGAGAATAAATTATTTCTCTGTTCTTTATGACTAAGGGTTTTTCATAATATTAAAATAAAATTGGGCGGAGATTGTTGTGATACATATAACTAAAAAGTCCATATAATTTAAACTCTCCATATCATTTCACTCTTTTGTTTTTCCTCCATTATTATTTTTAAAAATATGAAATATACAAATGATTTTGGTCTATAAATGTTATTAAAATTAAAATAAATTATAAATAAAACAAAAAAGCACTAACTTGGTATCACAATCATGGTTTTATGTGTTATTACTTTAATTAGATAGGTGAGGAATGAATTTATTTAAACATGTCATATAAATAATTGCATATATAAATTATATACCATATAAACAAAGTGAAAAAATCTTAATTAGTGTGTTGCTTTTGAATTGATATTATGAAGTTCGGTTGTATTTTACTATATATATATATATATATAATACAAAAAAGTAATATATATCTTTATAAATAAAATTTAAATTTTTTTATCAAACTAAATTAAATTATATCAAATAAAACTATAAATTATATTATAAAGTAATAGAAATTGGTATGTATTCTTTTAAAAATAATATTTATTTCAAATCTAATTGGTATGTTGTCAATGTAATAAAAATAAATAATTTTTTATAGAAATTCTAAAATTACATATAAAGTTATAAAAAAGTGAAGCACGACTGATACGACACTTGATATATTAGGTATCAAATAAAGTAAAAAAAATAATCTATTTTGCTAATATTAAATATACATCTAATTAAGTAAAAAAATTAATCTATTTTGCTAATATTAAATATACATATTCTACACTTATGCATATAAATATCACCATACTATTTCTATTTATTTAAGATATATATTTTTGTACTTATGTAATGGTAAATAATATCGATATTTTTATATGATATAAGTAAAAAAATACGGGTTGACATTTCATTTAATATACGGGTGTTTAATTATTATGATTAAAAGAATATAATTTGACAATTTAATTAAAACTCAAAGTAATGTTTTATATAAAATTAAATTATTTTAGTTTTTTAAAAAGTAAAAAATTATTTTCAGCTGAGTCGTAAGAACCGCACTGTTAAAGCTCAAATCAATGTTAGATACCAACTCAAAACTAATTGAGGGGTTTTAAATTTTTCCAGTCCAAAAATGAACTGGTGACAAGTGGAGTTATAATTTTTATAAACATACATTGACAAAATCCAAAGATTTTGTGTTATATCATTTTTATCTAATAGTTGGTGTGTCTTCCAAGAAATTCATAATTTTCACATATGAAACAAATAAATAGTCTCATTTTGATGGTCTAGTTTCGTTCTCTAAAGAATATAATAAAATAGATTCATAATTATAATAAAATTAGCAAATCAAAATAATAATTATGATTGAAGAGGCATAAAAATCAAATATTAAATATAACCTCCAGCAATATAGGCCGAAATATTGATCATATCAAATAGCAAACAAACCATTATTCTTAAATAAAAAAAAAAGTAATCATAAAATAAAATGTTTATGGAACAAACCATTATTCTAGAAAAAAGAAATAATCATAAAATAAAATGTTTACGGCTATAATAAACCAAGCCAATTTTATTAGAATTGAACAAATATCTCAATCGTGCATTTTTTCAATCTTCACTTTCACATTTTTTTCATTGCATGAACCTTGGGAATGCGGCACACCATCACCACCATCCTCGTGGTTGATATCTCCAGAGAGACGCTTCTTAGAAGAGGGAGTAGTTTCACCTATTTTTGCATTGTCAGCAACAAATGACACAGTACTCTATACAGAAAACATAGAATTGTTATATATATGTTTACAGTTGAAGTCATATTCATAATTTGAAAGTTCATAAAAATATACTCATAATTATATTTTTACTTTATTGCTTACCAATTCGAGGTCAATGACATTTTCTTGATTCTCAAATACATCCATGGGAGTTTTGGCAGTATTAGTATTCTAAGAAAATGTAAGATAGTTGTAAGCATATGAATTTGATAAGAAATTAATTACAAATTGAATTGCAACATTCATGAAAAGTAGCTTACCGCTTCCTCACAAATCAAATCACACCACTTAGATATAATAGTTGCATCATCGGTGAGTCTGGCGACTGTATAAACCCTTTTTGATTGGTTTAGATTGTACCTTTTTATGTCAATTTTGAAAAGATAACTTTTCATCGTCAATATTTCCAACTCATTTGGAAATGAATCGCCATCACCAACCTATATTAAGAAAAAAAAAAAAGGCATTAGTGTAAATATAAATAATTAATAATTAATAAGGAACAAATATTGATGATATCATTATTTATAGGGATAGGAACAGATTATTACTGCTTCCAGTGCATTTTTAAGATCTGCGGCACTCTTTCCCAATATTGGAGAAACTTGTGGATCAAAGAGAACAAATGACGTAGAACCGGTTTTATCTTCAACGCGGACGTGGACTTTGAAACTATTCGTTGATACAAAATTCATCAATGAAACGACAATAAGATATATTACATAACATCACTTAGTGAAGGTCACCAAAGTTGGGAAATAGTTATTGGGTATTATATTACCGAGTGAGAACAGCATTAGGACGACAATCACAATGGTTACACCAACATTTGCCTCCTTGTTCGGTAACCTTACGGTAACATTTGTTGCAAGCCATGTAGTACCAATTCTGACTGGTTTGAATGTTGCATATGTTGCAATAAACAACACATGAACACTCCTACGACAAATAAACTAATCAGTGATAAACACAATTTAAATACATATTTAAAAATGGTCAATGAGAATATATCTTAATAAGAGATGAACAGAATCAATAGAAGCAAAGTCCATAGTATTGCTAGTATTTACTTCATTTATAGCTTGCAAATCACTGATGGTTTTGAACTCTAAATTTGTAGGGAAGTCCTCATTAACAGAAGCCGATCCATTAGTGCAATAATCTCTTGAAGAACATGATACTGAATTAGGTTTGGACATTTCCTTCAAACTATAAAAGAAGTTAGGAATTAATGAAGAATGAATAATAAATAATTAGTCCATCAAGAATGAATAATAAATAATAAATAATTATCCAATACATACCTCTTCATGAATTCAACTATCTCATCCATATCTTCATTTATTATGAGTTTACTTGCAAAAAGTGAATTTTGTAAATTCACATGTGCTGCACATACAAAATTACATTTTCAAACAATTAAATGATCACTTTCCCATACTAAAACTTAATTTGCAATTAATCTTATGGGTCAATATTTACAATTTTCTCAAAATAAGTTAAAACCATAAATCCTATGAAGGGTACATGTACATTAAGAGCGATAAGGATTTGGATTTTATTTGCACGGATCACCCATTATGCAAATATTTTTATAGGATCCACGTAAACAGATCTTTAAATTATTGATTCTATCTACCAAGTTTGACATCCATTTTTTTTTTCTCGGAACGACAGAATTTCTCATAAACGAAAATCCAATGTACATAACAGACAATAACAATACAGACAATAACAAGCCGAAACCTTGAGAGGACCACACGCAGGTGGCCTAGATAACAACATCAACCGAGACTAGTAGAAACTACAGCAAATGGATATAAAGCATAAAAGACCTGGACCTTTACACCAAAGCTTGCAGCCAACCTAACCTCACAGCAAATAAACCCAACTACTGATCCAAGATCCTAGCCAGGAGAAACAAAAAGAAATAGAGAAAAAACCAAGCAAAAACAGAAACAACAATGCACCCAACAATAGTAAAAACCCCAAGAACCTACAGACCCCTACTAGTTAGATAAGCTTGCCAATCTTGGATAGCCAATTTAACTATCAAAGGAGCAGGTCTTCTCACCTTCTCAAACATCCAGAGGTTGCGCGATTTCCAATGCCACCATAAAATGTACGTGGTTAATTGGATTCGGGCTTCGGTTACTTCCTTCTTGTCTAATTGGCATACTTGCCACCACCACTGTTTGAATGTTTCCTGAGCTTTTGGCCCCTCCCATTGAACCGGTGCCAACTTCCACACCATTTGGGCTTGGCTACATTGGAAGAAAATATGCTCCATGGACTCTGATTCCTCACCACATTGACTACACATAACATCAACTGCCATACCCCTGGCAATCAAATGCAGGTTAGTTGGTAGGGATTTGTTGCAGCATTTCCACAGGAAGTGTTTTACCTTCCCCATTATTTTGAGTTTCCAACTTCTTTCCCTGACTTTGATGTCTCTAGCCAGGTCCCTGCTACCTTGGGCATATTCCATCCTCAGAAATTTATCAGTAATGAGTTTGGAATAAGTTGACTTAACAGTAAAATCACCTTTCTTGCTAAGGGACCAGATCCATCTATCTGGTTTCTGATGATGAATAGTGTTAATGGCCAACACTGTTTCACAGATATGAGCTGGGAATGTACTTTGAACTTTTCCCATATCCCAGCCATCCCCTTCCTCATTCATCAAATCCCTAACCCATCTGAAATTCCTATTAATACCTGGCAGCAACTCAACTGTATTACCCAGCAAGTTTGTGATCCAATGTTTATCCCAGATCTCAGTACTCTTCCCATCTCCTATCTCCTTCTGCATCCATTTACCACATTTGCCCAGCACAGATAGCCAAGAACTCCACATCCAAGAACAATTCTGTTTTTGTTGAGCCTCAAAAAGGTTAGTAGTAGGATAGTATTTAGATTTCAAGACCTTACTAACCATGTTATCAGGCTCATTTATCAATCTCCACAATTGTTTAGCAATCAGGGCCTCATTGAAAAGCTGAACATCCTGAAATCCTAGCCCACCATGCTTCTTTGCCAGAGTCATTTTGTCCCAAGCCACCCAGTGATATCCCTTTCTGTCAACTGCCCCTTTGTTCCACCAGAATTGAGCACTCACCCTTGCTATTTCCTTGCATAGCCTCACAGGCAAGACAAAAGAAGACATAGAATAAACCGGCAATGCATTAATGACAGCTCTTATCAGCACTTCCTTACCAGCAGGGGAGAGCCACTTATTCTTCCAATTTGAGAGTCTATTATTTACCACAGTAAGCACATAATCAAAAGCCTGCTTCTTAGACTTACCAATGCCAAGGGGTACGCCCAGGTACCTTGTAGATGAATGAATGCTGATACCCTCTAGTAACTGACTGCATCTGTGTTGGATCTCACTTGGAGTATTTTTGCTAAAAAACACAGAGGACTTTCCCATATTAACTCTCTGGCCTGTGAACTGGTTGTAGTTGTGTAAGATCTGAATCAGCTTCTGCACTTGATTGACCTCAGCTCTACAGAACACCAGAATATCATCTGCAAACATAAGGTGTGTGAGTTCAGGTCCTCCCCTGGATAGCCTAATTCCTTTGAAACTTCCCCTTTCTGCCTCCACCTTGATTTTAGTTGAGAATAATTCAGAGGTAAGAATGAAAAGGTAGGGAGATAGAGGATCCCCCTGCCTAATTCCCCTTGAAGCAGTAATATAACCCTGAGGGAGTCCATTTAGATTGAAAGAGAAAGTAGGATTTTGAATGCAAACTAACACCCATTTGATGAATTTGGTGTGAAAACCCATTCTCATCATGGTCAGTTGGATAGATTTCCATTCCAAGCTATCATAGGCTTTAACAACATCCAGCTTCAAAGCCATAAAAGAGTTTTTTCCAGTTCTATGCCTATTCAGAAAATGGAAGACCTCATGCCCCAGAATCACATTGTCAAACAGACTTATTCCAGCAATAAATGCAGATTGATTTTCAGATATACATAATGGCAAACACTGCTTCAATCTCAAGGCAAGAATATTACAGATCACTTTGTAGAAGACAACACAAAGTAGGCCTAAACTGAGTAATAGATGTAGGATTAGAGCATTTAGGCACAAAAGTAACCAGAGTGTGCTTCCAATACCTAAGCATTTGACTTGAGTCAAAGAAACTCTTGACAGCACTGCATATATCCTCTTTAATAATGGGCCAAAAATGGTGGAAAAATAACCCTGTCATACCATCCTCACCTGGGGACTTATCAGGATGAATGTTAAACACAGCCCTCTTGATATCAGCTTCTCCCACTGGAGCAATCCGCATTCTATTCAGCTCTTCTGGAATTTTCTGATCAATATTAGGCAAAAACTCCTGTCCATGTCTAGAACCCTGTGAAGTATAAACCTCCTCATAATAGTGACTAATTGTTCTCTCAATCTCTGCAGCATTGGAGCTTAATCTGTCCCCTTCCACCTGTATTCTCTCAATAGCATTCATTTTTCTCCTCTGGTGCACAAAAGCATGAAAGAACTTAGTATTACTATCTCCTTCTTTAATCCATTGGGCTCGAGCCTTCTGTTGCCAAAACATTTCCTCAGAACAATTTGCTTCATTCAATTCCTGCTGTAATCTCTCACAGACTTCCCAGTTTCTATCACCCCCTTGCTCTCTCATCTCAGAAAGTTGAAGAGTAAGTCTATCCACTTTGGCTGCATTTTCTGATTTAAAGTGTTTACTCCAGATGAGCAGTGCCTCCCTTACCTTCTTAATCTTCTCTTTGACTACATACATAGGAGTACCTGTAATGGCTGGACTCCAAGCTGCTTTGACCACTTCCTTGGCTTCATCCTTTTGGGTCCACCTTTTATCAAAGATGAACCTCTTTTTATGCCTACTAGAGGAGCCTTGAGAGTCTATCACCAACATACAATGGTCTGAGGCACTTCTAAACCAGCTGGTCACTCTAGTTGCAGGGTACTTGGCCAACCAACCCATAGATACAAAGGTTCTGTCCAGAAGTTCTTCCACAAACTCATTTCCAACTCTGTTGTTAGCCCAAGTAAATTGTACCCCTCTGAGAGGCAGCTCTTGAACCCCCATTTTGTTTAGGAACTCATTGAATCCTCTGAAGCTGCCACTAGGCCTTTTTCTACCCCCTTTTTTATCTCTTGAATTCCTCAGATCATTCCAGTCCCCTGCCATCCACCACACCTCTCCCCAATTGGGTTTCTCCATTAGTAATCTATCCCACTGGACTTCCCTCTCAGCCTTATTAGGACTGAGGTATACAAAATAGCATAGCCCTTGCACTGCTCCTTTTGAATCCAGAACTGGACTGCAACATAGAAGTAATCAAAAGACATTTGCAAAATCTCCACCTCCTCATTCCAAAGCAAAAGAAGCCCCCCACTTCCCCTTCTGGGATCCACACAAAAAAACCTGTCCCTGTAGCCCAGCTTAACACACACAGACTTAGAAAAGTTTTTTGGTTTTTTTACTTCTGAAAGAAAAAGAAAATTTGGATGATGGATCCTTAAAGATTCTTTGATCTGGGGAACTGTAGAGGGCCCACCCAGACCTCTACAGTTCCACACCTGAGCTTTCATCGACACCCCGAGGGTCCTTTAAGGCTGCCCCTCATTTCCTGTACATTAAGAGTTTTGGATTTTTCGTCTGCACCTTGGGATAAGGATCTTTGAGAGTCCTTCTCCAGAACTAACCCCCCTTGGTCTCTCAGCCTTTTGGAAGAGGTAGATGATTCTCCCATAGAGTGATCCCCCCCATTCCTAGAGAGCCTGCCTTCTTTGAGCCCTTTTCTTTTCCAAGTCTTCCTACCAGCAATTGATTCTGGAAGAATTCTTCTGTTCACTGGCTTAACCCCTTCTATAGTCAGCTGTTCTCCTGGAATAATAGGTAGTTCATACTGGCCTTCCTCAATATTGATTGGATGATCCTGTTCCCCCTGAATAAGCTCATTTATATGAGTTTCAACTATCGCCAACCCCTTTTCCAATCCTTCCCCTGATGGACCCTTCCCCAATTTAGATACTCTGGATTCCACCCTCTCTATACTTTTGTCTTTAGAACCCTTGTAGCTTCTCTCCTCCGAGCCCTCCCTCAAGGGGTCCCCATTATCAGCCACTTTAGCCTGCACATTTATAAGAGATGAAGGAGCACTCTCCCTCTGCCCTGAAGATCTTTCAGAATTGTTCCAGCTTAGTCCCTGCAAACCTTCAGAAGCTCTAAGCCAATCTCCATATTGCCCCTTTTTCAATTCATTTTTGCCAACATCTTCGATTTTAGTATCACATCCTTTCTCTATGTGTCTAATCTTGCCACAGTAAAAACATAGATTTACAAGCCTTTCATATTTAAAGGTTACTGTGACCAACTGAGAGCCTAATCTAATAGTGGCACATCTAGGTAATGGTTCTGTAATGTCCACTGTCACAAGCAGCTTCAAAATTCGACCCCCTTGAATCCCAGAATTGGTGATGAGAATATTAATTGTTGAAGAGAAAGCTTTACCAATTTTGAGACCGACCTCATTTGTAAGCCAGTTAAAAGGAACATGGTGGACTTGAACCCATATTTTAAGCTTGGAAAAGCAGCCATTCATACAGTTTAGGCCTTCCTTCCATTTGGAGCTTATCAAATACTGGTTTTCGAAAATCCAGTTTGTTCCCCCTTCAATTTTCTTGATATCCTCCAAGTTTTCAAATATAAATTGAAAAAAATTTGGTGCTAACTCACGAACCTCCATTGGTTGCTGCGGCTTCCATATCACTCCCATGGCCCGTTTGATGCCAACCACGTGTGCTCGTTTCTCCCCCACTATTTTGCCAAATAAGCTCTTGTGGCACTCTTCAACCCCCGTCTGGACATCTTCGTCTCCTAAATCGATAATGTTATGTTCAACCCTGGATAGCGAGAATGCCCTGAGTCGTTGTTCCACTTCTTCCGCAAGGTTGCTAGTATTTACCCCTCCATATTATATCCTAGATCACGAAAATAAGACTATGCAGATCGAGTAGGTAGTACACACAAGCTAACACACTGAGAATAACAGAAAGGAGAGACAAACCCCACAAGATTTTAACTGAAAGCGAAAAGAAAGAGTGAAAAAAAACCCTCCAATGAGGGAAGAGAACTCTCCAGTGAGAGAAAATACTCTCCTAGTGAGAGAAATTTTTTTTAAGTTTGACATCCATTACATCATGTTTTTTTTCCTGTAAGGATTACTGATTTGCAGATGACAAACATAAATACTCAGGTGCCAAAAAAAAATAATAAAAAAAAAAAAAAGCACAATGAACTAATTCATTTCCCAGTAGCTTTAATTATTCAAAACATCAGGGAATCTCAACTTGTTCCCAATTAGAAATTTTTTCAACTGTTCAGTTTCCTATTGTACCTTTGTTGATCGTAACAAACATCCTCTAATTCTAACACAAAAGAAAAACCACATGTTGATATGTAATACATTATTCATTCTATTTCTCTAAAATTTATTTGACTTTCCTAGTGGTTATGTGAACAAACTTATAAAATATGTAATGAATTATAGAGAGAAATACCTCCCCATCTTTTAACCATAGCATATTGGAGAATAATGACAACCGGCTCATCTTGTTTGGCCTTCCAGAAGTGAACCATTTGAATAGCAAAGTGGTTCCACAGTGTACATTCCATAGTTTCTCCACTTCAGAGAAAATAATGAAATAATTATAATCGATTAAGTTGATCCAAATGTGACTAAAAAAAGATATAAATAATAAATACTACTAACCTCAAGTTACCGAGATATATGTTAAGTCTAGTCGTTTCATGACCATCTCGTTCATACTTAACGACTTCATCAATTTTGATGACCTCGGCAATGACATCTATGTTTAAATCAAATAACAAAAGTAAATATATTATAATTATATTGGGATGTAAAAAAAAATTAGTAGATGTTAAAATAAATTACATACCAAATAAGGAGTTCGTGTAGTCAGGGTTGCCCCTCAATTCGCTAAATTCTACGAAATTGAACATATAGCGAGGGATATCTCGAGATTCGGAGTCTTTAACTGCTGTACACTCGTGAAATTTTAACATATATTGATGTGCGGTGGTTCTGTAATCACCTTTGTTCTCTTGTATCTCGAAATTTGTCATTATGTAAAATGACCCCTCTTTTATAATATCTTCATATTTCGAGATGCTCCATCTCGGAATGGTCGCTTGAATTTTTCCACCCTATAAAAATATAATGAAATTTGTAAATTCGTTTAATATTAGTAAATTTCACTTTATTCACTTTATAAAGCTAATGAATGGTCGCTTGAATTTTTCCACCCTATAAAAATATAATGAAATTTGTAAATTCGTTTAATATTAGTAAATTTCACTTTATTCACTTTATAAATCTAATGAATGGTAGCTTCTGATGTTTAGTGCCTGTAATTGTTTCATAAACTTCGGCTTTTGGTAAACCCATCAAAAAGATATTATGCATGGATAATTTAAAGCCCCTCAAAAAGATATTATGCATGGATAATTTAAAGCCCCTCAGACAAAAACAAACATATATGATCACGGATAATTTAAAATCACAGTATCTTAAGGAAGTCGGTAAAAATTATGGGCCCGTGTACCTTTTCGTCTAAGACACAAATTGTTAGAGTAGGGTACCCGGCGTTCCAATCTAATTGGACGTATTCTACTTGTAAATACAGTCTATTGGAATTATATTATGAATAAGGCATTTCTTTATCTTAAGAGAAAGCATTTATCTTATAATTGCACTTAAGATAAAATCCCTAGATCACTTATGGTTATAAGGTATGGTTGCGCATAGAGATGGTGATCATGGAACATACCTTGAAAGCCGTGATCTTAAATACAGTTCCAAGTCGATGGATGTTTCGAGATGGGATATCGAATAATCCATAAAAGACTTGCACATAGTTTGTATGCTTGTTGGACAAGAATGTTGCATTCCATCAACATTAGCGTAAGACGTAAGTACATTTATGTGGGTGCTTGTTAGAGAACAAGTTCACTGAACATGACCGTATGAAAATTCTTAATGAAGAATTTATTCAGTCGAATAAGAATTTTCATGTTACAATAGTACATGACTAATCCTAAGACTTGAGGCACAATGGTAACTTTGTGCATATTACATTCTACTTTGATTTATCCTTTTGGTAGCTAGCACTATCGTTTAAAGGGATAAGTTGGGTATTATGTTAATATGTATGGAAGTTTGTTAGTGGCCAATAAAGGATTCGACACTTATGAAGATAAGTGAATTTCCTATGTGTTTCATAGTTATTAATCCAAAGTCCTTGGCCAAGGCAGAGATGAATAGTGATTCATAACCGGGTTAATAAACATGAAATAGAATCATAGTTATTAAGTCAATTTGGGTTTCGACAAAATCATACCCAAGACTTAATCGGGAAATTAGATGTCGAAAGGATTTTACATGTATGGAGTTGTAATCGGAATAGGTTTACTCGCTATTCACTTAATACTAGATTCATGCTACTTGCTAGGTGTTACCATGATATGTGGGTTCATAAATTAAAGGGTTAATTCATGAATAAGAGTTAATAAGATTTAACTCAAATTACAAAGTGTTGTAAACCCACTACTAGTATTAAGGTGAACCTAAAAGGTCACACTAATTATGAACAAAGGTAAAGATTGTATTTCTAATGGTTAGAATTAATTGATAAATATCTAATTTGATTAGATATCAATTAAAGGAATATATTAATCAATAAGATTGATTAATTACATTTTGGATATTACTTTAGTAATTAAGGTAATTACTAAATTAATAAAGTTGAATTTTAAAATAGGATTTTAAATTTCAAAAATCCAAAATAATAATAATATGATTATTATAATATTGGGAAAATGATATAATAATAAAGTCTTGAGAAAGATTCTCAAGATTTATTATCCAATTATTATTTATATCTTTAAATATGATTTAAGGATTAAAATAATAAATATGATTATAATAAAATGGTTGTTGATGGTTGTTTGAACTACTTAACATATCTTATTATTTTCAAAGTCAAAAGTTAGTAAATACTATTTAAATAAAATTTGATTTTATTTAATATTACTAAATGTTGATTATTTTATGCTAAAATGTTTAGTATAAATATATGCAAAATGGTTTTGCATTTAAGTGAAGTTTTTGATCCTAAATTTCTAAGTGTTAGAAAGAGAAGAAAGTGTTCTTCATAAAACTTCAAGAAAGAGTTCTTAAAATTCCCAAATAAAATTCATAAATATTCCTATACAAGAAAACCGAGTCTTTTCTACTAGCGAAGGAAAGTCGTCGGAACCGGGCTTCATAGGGTGGATACGTTTAGAGGGAAGACACTTGGATTCCTCTAGCGAGTAACCTCAAGTCGTTGAAGTTACAACCGGGAACCGATTCCCTCATCCATCATCAATAGTGAAGGAGTTCAAGACATTCGGTAAATATTTTTACTAGTATTTACTTTATAGTAACAAATCAAAATTTGTATATGATGCATGTTTTAAAGATGACGATCAGTTAATTCGCAATTAGTATGTACGGGTGTTGTATTTATACGATAAATACTTACTTTAAAAATTTTAAATTCCGCTGCGTACAGCCCGTACGGTACTATCGAACCCAACAGTGGTATCAGAGCCACGGTTATCGTCTTTAAAACAGATTTTGATTTGTTAAGACTTATGAGATAAGCAATATAATTAATTTTTTATATGATAAAAATATTAATTATAAAATTAAAAATCGTTTTTAAGCCACACGAGTCGTGTGACCTTGTCACACGAGTCGTGTGGCATGAAGAAAAATTTTGATTTTAGCTTCGTGATTTTCACACGAGTCGTGTGACCTTGTCACACGAGTCGTGTGAGCTCACACGAGTCGTGTGACGAGCCACACGAGTCGTGTGAGTCTGGGAAAAATTTTGATTTTCAATTCGTATTTTTCACACGAGTCGTGTGATAAGATCACACGGGTCGTGTGACCCTCACACGAGTCGTGTGACTCATAAATTGATATTTTATGTTCATTTCATTAGATGAATGTTTTAGGGATGATCATGAGCCTCATATTCATTATGTTTGAATGGATGTTTTCATTTTCAATATGATTGAATGAATGAATGGATGTTTAATTATGTTTTCAATATGATTGAAGAAATGTAATTTATCGAGACCTGCGAGTCTCTTGAGATGAAATTTGTAAAATTTTAAATTTTGTATCGTTAGAGATTAGATCAAGGTGGAGACCGTTCGATGACAAAGGCCCACGCATGTGTGGGTAATTTTACAAGTTGTAATCTCGAAGGCCTGTGCTTGTACGGGTAGATAGAATAAATGTAATAGAAGTAGTTCTACTATTTGTTTTATCACGTACATATGCATAGATCCATTTTGGCTCGAATGGATCGAATAGGAAAGGACATGATCATCCCACCATGCATTAGATGTATGTTAGGTTTATTTACGCTTTCGTTTCATTAGATGACTGAAACTGGTAAATAAACGTAAAGATGGTAATCGATGAGATCAAGGAACCCAAACGGATTAATTTGATTAATTCCATATCAAATCAATAATGGATAAAAATAAGTTGGAACTTATTAATCCAGGCCTTCCATCAAAAGTAGATGACATGAGATGCTACGATGTTTTATCATTGGCCACGAGTCGTGGGATGATTCTATGTCGAAAGCTGTGAACTCTATTAAATATATTGATATTCGTGAGACGGATTCCTCTTTGTGTTGGCCATGAGTCGTGGGACACTCTGGTGGGCCGTTATCATGAAAGTTTTGATGGGTTTGATTTGACACCGAGTAATATATATGGAGTCATAAAATTGAGGTATATAAGGAAAGGTGAGGCAAAACATCTTGAAGGTTGTATAGAGATACAATTGTCAAAAAGTTGACTACCGATAAAATTGTTTCATGGTGGCATCATAAAATTGGGACATGAAATATTTTTATTGGACTTCAAGCCCACTATGAAAATAATGATTTTCATAATTATAATGAGGTTCTAATTAAATTAGTGGGAGACATTTAATGTTAAAGACCTAATATTAAATGAATATAAATTCCATAGTCTAATTATTTTCTGCTTCGTTTGTTATTTTTGTAGATCAAACTACTAAAATGGCTAAGAATCCAATCGCGAGTATCCTTGATCATAATAAATTAACTGGTCCCAACTTCAATGATTGGTTGAGGAACCTAAAGATTGTTCTTCAGTCTGAGAAGCGAGAGTATGTTTTGGAAACAGCTCCTCCTCCTCCACCGGAGGATCAGACTGCTGAAGAGTATGGAGCCTACTTGCGTCATGTTGATGACAATCTCCAAGCTCGGTGCTACATGCTAGCATCAATGTCTAATGAGCTACAGAGACAGAACGAATTACTGAATAATGCTTCTGAAATCCTAACTCACCTGCAAGAGTTGTATGGTGATCGGACGCGACAAATTAGATATCAGATATCTAAAGAGCTTTTCAGGTGTCGTATGACCGAGGGCTCTTCAGTTCATGATCATGGACTGAAGATGATAGCTCTTGTGGAAAGACTCGAATCACTTGGAGTCATTATGGATAATGAACTCTATGTGGATTTATTGTTGCAATCTCTGCCAGCGTCATTCGATAACTTTGTCGTTAACTACAACATGCATAATATGGAAACTGATCTTCCAGGATTATTAAACATGTTGAAGACGGCTGAGTCCACCATTAAAAAGGACAAGCCGGTACTTCTTGTTGGATCCACTTCCGGATCAAAGGCTACTAAGTCTAAGAAAAGGAAGGGGAAGGGAAAGGTTCCCAATAAGCCCAACAAGAAGGCATATAATGATAAAGGGAAGAACAAACAGAAGGTTAATTCTCAGGCCGATCATGAATGTTTTCATTGTGGCAAAACTGGGCACTGGAAGAGGAACTGCAAGGAGTATCTTGCTAGTCTGAAAAGTTCAGGTATTTATTTTGTTGAAGTTAACTTGTCTGTTAACGATTCTTCTTGGGTATTGGATACCGGCTGTGGCTCACATATTTGCAATGATTTGCAGATGATGGCAAGAAGTAATATGCTAGATGGTGAAGAAACAATCCTAAGGATGGGCAATGGGGCAAGAGTTGCTGCTAAAGCTATTGGGACTGTTTATCTAGCATTGAATAATGATGTAAAGATTTGTCTATCAAACTGT